CTGTTCTTTACGTGGAATGTAGCTGAAATATCTTCAGTTCAACTTTCTATATAGTTATATATTTTCCTTTAGTTACCATGCAGATCTCTAGGATGTCAGACTCGCCCCTCCCACCTCCCTCCTCTTTTCTCCACACTATACCAGTAAAGGATATTGTTCTTGAATGCTCCGACTCCCCCTCTTGATATTTTTCTTTATGTAGTTCATCGCCCTCACAGCATCCGCAAACTCGCGTTCTTCTCGCCCTTGTTGGTGATGTGGAGTCTGACCAGATACAGCTGACCGTAGCGGATTCCAGGTTTTCCCTGAAGCATTTTCCTGACGGGCGTGAATGCCGCTCTGATGCTGGCCACACTCGCGGTGTAATCCGGCTGGCCACCACAGTCTCTGGCTTTCCTCAGGATATCCAGTGCATCTCCCTCGTTGTGCAGCTTTGCAATAATTACGCGGGGCTTGCCTCCGGGTCTTCTCTGCGTCAGGCGGCAGTGTGAGCGCTGGATCATTATGTCTTTGTCCAGGTGAAGAACCTCTTTAAGGAGTTTGGATACTGCGGTGGGGGAAACTTGATCCTGGCTCTTCCGCTGCTCTAGTGATCTGAATGTCTCCCCTTCTCATCCCGATCTTCCATGTCCTCGCATTTTGCTTTTCGAATTTGAACTTGCTTTTTGAGATCCATTACTGTAGTTTGCACTGACACGACTTTGTCCGACCACTCCGACAGCCCTTCTTCGACAGCCTTTACATTTGCTTGCACCTGAGCGGATAGCTGCCGTGTTGTTAGCTATCTCTGTTGTCACTTCAATAATTCCTTTTTTGCCAGCGCGGTCTTCAGCTCCTCTCTTGTTACAGACGATATTTCTTTTTTTAACGAGGCGAGGGTGTCTGCTTTAATTGTTGTGGTGTCCATGCCTGTACTTACTTCAGGTACTGGTTGGGTCGAGCCGGGTTTCTCTGGACCTTTAGCCGGGGCGATTTGAGGCCTTGTGGTCGACCTAGCTTCGTAGTTGTATTTTCAGAGATTCGCTGCCATCTGCGTTGGGTTATTTTCCGCCTTGCCGTGTAGTGTTGGGCCGGCAGCTACTGTATTTAGTTTTTATGTTTTTGAGCTTTAATGCCTTTTAATATATTCTTGTGATCAAAGTTCTGCGGGAGCTCCCGAAAATGTGTCTCACTCCATTGTTGCTCGCTAGCGCCCCCCAGTAATTGTAAATTGCAACAGGTGTTTCTGTTTTCAAGAATGTAATATTAAATTGGCTTAAAGCACATATGCACACATCACCAGGGCTAATTCACTGATTACCTGCAGCTCCCTGGTAGCTTATACCCACATCATAATTGCAGATTGTGCAAAATGCATGGTGAGGTTCTTTAGAGGGTCGCAAGCATGGCCACTGTTCTTGATATATGGACAAAAACTTCTGAGACACATGGACGCTCTTCTTTTTGGCAGGTCTGCTAACCAATCCCTCCCTGTCTGCTTCTCCCTCATCTGCCATAGCATGAGCTGCAAAACGAGCTGCGAAAAAAAAAATACTGGCAGCATGCTTAAACTGTATAAATAATCACTTTCCTCCTTATATACAGGCCATATCTATCTGCAATGCACACACACACACACACACACACACACACACACACACACACACACATTACCTTACTAGAACAGCAGAGGGTGACAACGCCATCATCAGCGTCAGCTCTGAGGAAGTTTACAGCCGGTAAACGAAACTGTCAGAAAGGTAAAAAAGAAACCTTTTTCTGTCTTTTAAAAAAGAACCAAAGATGCTGCTGGAAAACTATCAGATCACATAACTCCTCAGAGGTTTTATTCTCCAGAGACAAGTACAAATTATAGGCCAGTGTCACTACTTCCACAGTTTTCCAAAATACTAGAAAAAGTCTTTGCATCACGGTTGGATAAATTTATTGAAAAAAATATGATTTTACATTATGAACAGTATGGATTCAGGACCCAACATTCAACAACAATGGCAATAATGGATTTAACAGAGAAAATTTCTGAAGCAATAGACAATAGAGAATACTTTATTAGTGTTTTTATTGACTTAAAGAAAGCTTTTGACGTTATCGATCATTCAAGGTTACTGCAAAAATTATATCAGTATGGAATACGAGGGGTTGCTCATCAATGGGTTAGAAGTTATTTAGATAATAGAAAGCAATATGTTCAGATAAATGGCGTTACATCAGAGCTACGAAAAATTGCTTATGGAGTGCCGCAGGGGTCGGTCCTTGGACCAAAATTGTTCAACCTGTATATCAATGATTTGGTAAATGTGTCTGACAAACTAGGTTCTGTTTTGTTTGCAGATGATACAACACTGTTTTATTCAGGGTCTGATATAAATGAAGTAACTCATGTGATAAATATTGAACTGATAAATGTTAAAAACTGCTTTGATATAAATAAATTAACACTTAATCTTAAAAAAACTAATTTCATTCTATTTAATGACAAAGAAAATATAGACGTAATATTATAAATAGAAAACATGGAAATTCAAAGGGTAAAAGAAATCAAATTTTTGGGAGTAATGATTGATGAAGCTCTAAGCTGGAAATCACACATAGGCTATATAAAAGGTAAAATGGCCAAAGCCATTGCAGTATTATATAGCGTAAAGTTTCTACTTAATAGTGAAGGATTGTTATTACTATACAATGCACTGATTCTGCCATACTTAAATTATTGTGTAGAAATCTGGGGAACTGCATATAGAACGTATACACAACCTTTGTTTGTTTTGCAGAAAAGAGCAATGAGAATTATAGACAACACTCAAAGTACAGCTCCATCTAACCCATTATTTATAAAATATAAAGTAATCAAATTTCATGATTTGGTCAACTGGAGAATATTGCATATAATGTGTAAAGCAAATAAAGGTACATTGCCAAAGAATATTCAGCATATATTTGAAAAGAGAGATAGCAGTTATTCGTTGAAGGGATTTGAAATCTTCAAAAAACCTAGATTTAGAACAAGAATGAAGGAAATGAGCATATCTGTGAATGGTGTGAAGTTGTGGAATTGCCTGGACAGAGAATGGAAAGAGTCAAGAACTCTAAAAGTGTTCAGTCTACACATTAAATCACGTGTGTTGAGTGGATATGACAACGGACAATTGATGTGGACATAATAATTAACAAATGTGAACAGTTACGGGACTGAAAGAACTGGTGAGGGACTGCACAAATATAAATTGATATTTAAGTTTAAAAAAGGGGCAGAAATAATAAGATTTTTCTTCTATCTGCTCCCTTTCATTCAAATATATATTGTGTTTTTACGAATATTGTTTAGTATCTGTTGTGTTATTTTTTTATTGAATGAAATAAAGATAAAAAAAAAAGAGTAACCAACTCTCCGGCAACTCCCATTCCATTCCATTCCATTCCATTCCATTCCATAGTCTTATCAGAACCACAATGAGATGTCCAGGAGGGACATGGGTGCATGAGAGCCACCATGAAGATTCTTGATGACATTATCACAGAGTTAGAGAGCAAGCAAACCTTTATGGACCTGCTAAGGCCTTTAGCCATTCAGTCATAGGATCCTCCTACTCTTACTGGTTTCCAGCCATCTCACCAACCTTGTCCAGCAACTAAAAGGTAAAAACATCTGTCAGAACAACGGATGGCGCATTCACATCTGGGTCAGCCCACCCCTGAGCAGCCATGTTTAGTTCACATAGCCTTCTCAGGAACACAGATGTCTCAGAGCAAGTGGGCGGGGCGAAACATGAGCTGAGAGGTTTGTGGTGTCCTTAAGAAGCCATGAGCAGGAAACTATGACATGGAGCACGCTGTCACTGCGCAGCAATGCCGCGGAAAATACTCAGGTTACCCAGATTTGCACTATTAACCTACCACGGCTAGGCCAGGTGGACCCAAATATAAATGCACCAATGTTTCCAAAGATGTCCCCGGGGTTCCATCTTGGGCCCAGCTTCTCTATATAGCCAGGTCTGCCGGTTGTTTTCAGAATGATCAGAGCTCAGATCTGTATGAGGTCGACACCATCTTGTACTAAACTGGCTCTATTGGGCAGCAGTAAAGCTCCAGAAGGTAGAGCAGGTGGTCCAGTGAGCAGAAGGTTGCAGGATCCATCCCAGCTCTTAGTTTAACTTAGTTTGTTATTTTCTAGCTTAGAAAATTGTGTAATATTTACTAATAAATGTCAGTTAGACTTTCCCCAGTTCCTCTTGAATATAAGGGACTATTTACAAACATGCATGGGGAATAAATTGACTAAGCAAATAGTTACTTCCATTTTATTGGGTAGTTTCTATGGGTTGCTTTTTACAGTGTATGTTTCTGTGTTTATGTAAGTCCGTGTTGTTGTTTGGTGTTATGTTTTTAAATGAGAAGTTGTTGTCCAACCTTCTATGCGGCAAAATAAAGCTTTATTTAACCCTAACCCTCATGAACTTCTTTGCTTTTTCATTCCTTTCATTGTAGTTTCCATGAAGACCTGCAGCAACATACAACGTGATACTTTTCTAAATGAGCTTTTTAGGTGGAAATTCAAGAAACAGAGTTCATCTTTCTGTTTTTATTAGCTAAGTTATTGGTGTGTGTTGTTTATAAAACCTGCATTCGTTTTTATTTCTCTGAGTCCAGCAGCGTTTCAGCGTCAAATAAGTCCAATATTATGTTGATTTGACCTTTATTGAAAATGCTTGTTTGGCATTCCTGCATATGAGGACAGGAACAGCATCCTCATTAGTCCAGTGGTCAGTTATTCATTGAATCGTGCTGCTTTATGTTACAATAACTTATCTCTGCAGCATTTTGCCGAGTCATGTTTATTGCTGACATCTGAATAAACTAATCAAAAACACAAGAATGACAGTCGATGTGTTGCTGTTGAGTAGAACTACTTCTTACTGCTTTGTAGTAAAAATCTGAACATGTTCATCCAATCCTTCATAAGTGTGGACAGAAGCCTAACATGTTCATCTTGTCTTCTCCAGAGACAGTACCACTCCCAAATTGACGATCTTATCGAGGAGACAGTGAAGGAGATGATAACTCTGCTGGTTGCTAAGGTACAAATCACAACATCATACTTTTGCAGCATTAATTAAGCTGAGCACAGGTCACTGCTTTTGCTGGAAAGGACATAACTGTTTCTGGCTGCCATGTTCTGCTACAGAGACAACGTTTTTAAAAAGATGATGCAGAAGGTTTGCCGTTTGACAGCGAAAAGGGTTCACCAGATGGTCAGAAGTTGGTTTGCATTTAGTTTTAGTTCTTGTGTTGGACGTTTTATACACGAATGCAGATGGGACAACATAGGGTTACAAGTAGGAATATAAAGAAACCTTTTAAAGGCCCAGTGTGGAAAACTTTAGAGCAGGTGTTGCACTTAGATGGTTCATAGCCGTCGGGCTAGCAGGCTTGCTGCCGATACATGAAACGTTTTGGGTCCATCTGTTAGAGGCTTCACCTAAACTCACTCTGGTTTTAGACCTTTAATGGTCACTGCTCTTCTGAGAAGGATAACGACATCTTCTGGTCTCAGAAGCAGCAGCAGCTCCACTTGTCGAGTCTGCCATGTTCCTCAGCGCCAGACTCGCTGTGCTGAACGAACTGTTTACCGTATCTGGCAACCTGCAATGGTGTCCTGTTCTACTGGCTGGTAGATGTAAACATAAAGCCAGTGTTGTGCCCACCAAAAATAAATATTTGATTATTTTTTGATTAAAATATAACTTTTAAAGTAAATACCGTACCTTCATTCTGCACACCTCCTAATGCCTGTGGAAGCATTTTTACTTTTAAATATAATTTTTTATTCAATTGTTCCATATTCAACCTTTAGGTTAATTACAACTGATGTATTTCATGGCCAACAGCACCTAAGTTGTTGCAATAGTAAAAATCATCAGGTTGATACTGCAATGCCAGTCTCTATAGCCTACCCTACATAAAGCATATAATACAATGGAACGATAGAATAAATACTTTCAACTAAGGATGATACATTAATGTATCTGTCCGGGAGGAAACTAGCAAATTCAGTTTGACTTTCGATGACCTTTTTTCCATAAGGTCTCACAAATTTGGAAGACAATGCTGTCCTTTTTCCCTTCTAAAATCCTTCTTTTCCACGGACAAGAAAAACAATCCTGTCCCTCAAATTTCGATGTAGAATTTGTGTGATCCTCCAGTGTGTTCTTCAAGTCCCCTCCCTTTCCGGTCGGCTCACGGGTCCCTGAACGAGGCAAAAACGTTATTTTCTAACCCGCTCTGCCTTACTTTGGCGATGCATATTTGTAGTTCTGGACTTATTTTCACACAAAACCTAAAATAACGTTTCCCCCTTGTTTGAAAATAAGCACTTTCTTTGTATCAAAAAGCTTCTTTAAAATTTACGGACATCATATGTGAAATCCATGGAACATAACAAGCGGACTTAGAAAATAGTGTTTTGTGTCTTGCATTCATTTTTTCATTCTTCCGGGGACCCGTGAACACGGCACATCGCCATGGAGCATTGGTCACAGCTTTTTAATGTAAAAATGTAACATTTTAAGCTAATAGGAACACTTAGAATAGACATTGATGAAGATATTAATGAAAAAGAACAACTTTGCAAACAGAATACAGAGAATTTGATAGAAAACAAATACAAATATTACACGCTAGGCCTTTAACGAAAAAAACAAACCAGTGTTTTTCCTCCCCTCAGACTGTCTGTATGTATTGTTTCTTTCTTTTTAATTTGACCTTGCCAAAGAAGCCCAATATTGTTTGTAAAGAAATACTTATTATTGTTGTAATCAATATCAGTGACTTCAGCCAACAAGACTCCTTAAATCTAATCCACAACTTTTCCTTTTTTGTTTGATTTAGCATAAGCCTCAAGTTCTTGTGACTATTTAACATGAAGAATATGTTGAAACTATTAATTGTATAGTTATTTTTATTTAAGAAAACCTTATTTTATTTCATGCACTCTTATTGTTTTTTCTCATCCATTTCTTCTTTTTCCCGTTAGTTTGTGGTCATTTTAGAAAGCGTCCTATCCAAACTCTCCAGATATGATGAAGGAACTCTCTTTTCTTCCTTCCTGTCTTTCACAGTAAGTATAACATATCTATTCATCACTTCTTTAAAATCACAGTCCAAGCCCAAAACTTCTGCTTACATTGGTTCACCACAGTACCGAAAACCTGGATTATTCATTTTTTAATGCTCTTTAAAGATAAATGTGCAACAGCCTTAAGACATGTTTTGAAAATGCCCAAGTCCATACTTATGAGAGCACCAGAGCACCTGTGTGTGTACACGCGCTTGTATATGTAAGGTTTCTATATAGGAGCGTCCAATAGAGAGTGTGAGGGGCCACAGATCTTCCCCCAAAGATGTGTAGGAGATGGAGGGAGCTCCAAGTCCCAGAGATCCAGGAGCTGATCCAGAGCACAGGGACCCCAGGGAGACTGCAACCAGAAAAGCACCAGCCGCCCACAAGAGGCGCAGAGGATTGCCCAGGGGGGCAACAACAAGCAGCCAGCAGAGTCCCGGGAGATATCAGCGGCAAGCCCACAGGCCCGCCCGCAGCCTCCCACCCTCTAGCCAGCCGAGCCCGGAACCCGGGGTCGACCACCCGCGCCGTAGACCCAGCAGAGCCCAGGGACCCAGACCCCACCAGAAAGCCACCAGGATTAATCAGGCTGACGCCAAAAATCATAAACCTGGGAGCCACAAACACTCAGGCAGAACAAGGCACCGCACTCCACACCAGGTGTGGCGGGAGACAGCAGTGAGCTGTGAGGCAGCAGTTTACTGTGAGACAGCAGTGAGCTGTGAGACAGCAGTTTACCGTGAGACAGCAGGTTACCATGAGACAGCAGTTTAGTGTGAGACAGCAGTGAGCTGTGAGACAGCAGTTTACCGTGAGACAGCAGGTTACCATGAGACAGCAGTTTAGTGTGGGACAGCAGTGAGCTGTGAGACAGCATTGAGGTGTGAGACAGCAGTTTACTGCGGGACAGCAGTGAGCTGTGAGGCAGCAGCTTACTGTGAGACAGCAGTGATGTGTGAGACAGAACTTTGCTGTGAGACAGCAGTTTACTGTGAGACAGCAGTGAGCAGTGAGACAGAACTTTAGTGTGAAACAGCAGTGAACGGTGAGACAGCAGTGAGTTGTGAGACAGCAGTTTACTGTGAGACAGTAGTTTTCCATGAGACAGCAGTGAGGTGAGAGACAGCAGTGAGCTGTGAGACAGCAGTTTACTGTGAGACAGCAGTTTAATGTGGGACAGCAGTTTAATGTGGGACAGCAGTGAGCTGTGAGACAGCAGTTTATTGTGAGACAGCAGTTTACTGTGAGACAGCAGTTTACTGTGAGACAGCAGTTTAATGTGGGACAGCAGTGAGCTGTGAGACAGCAGTTTATTGTGAGACAGCAGTGAGCTGTGACACAGCAGTTTACTGTGAGACAGCAGTGAGCTGTGAGACAGCAGTGATGTGTGAGACAGCAGTTTACTGTGGGACAGCAGTGAGCTGTGAGACAGCAGTTTACTGTGAGACAGCAGTTTAATGTGGGACAGCAGTGAGCTGTGAGACAACAGTTTATTGTGAGACAGCAGTTTACTGTGAGACAGCAGTTTACTGTGAGACAGCAGTTTATTGTGAGACAGCAGTTTAATGTGGGACAGCAGTGACCTTTGAGACTGCAGTTTGCTGTGAGACAGCGGTTTAGTGTGAAAGAGCATTGAGCTGTAGGACAGCAGTGAGGTGTGAGACAGTAGTTTTCCATGAGACAGCAGTGAACTGTGAGACAGTAGTTTTCCATGAGACAGCAGTGAGGTGAGAGACAGCAGTGAGCTGTGAGACAGCAGTTTACTGTGAGACAGCTGTGAGGTGTGAGACAGCAGTTAACGGTGGGACAGCAGTGAGCTGTGAGACAGCAGTTTACTGTGAGACAGCAGTGAGCTGTGAGACAGCAGTTTACTGTGAGACAGCAGTGAGGTGTGAGACAGCAGTTTACTGTGGGACAGCAGTGAGCTGTGAGACAGCAGTTTTATTGTGAGAAAGCAGTGAAGTGTGAGACAGCAGTTTGCTGTGAGACAGCAGTTTACTGTGGGACAGCAGTGAGCTGTGAGACAGTACTTTAGTGTGAAACAGCAGTGAGCTGTGAAACAGCAGTGAACTGTGAGACAGTAGTGAGTTGTGAGACAGCAGTTTACTGTGAGACAGCAGTGAACTGTGAGCCAGAAGTTTTCCATGAGACAGCAATGAGCTGTGAGACAGCAGTGAACTGTGAGACAGAAGTTTTCCATGAGACAGCAATGAGCTGTGAGACAGCAGTGAGGTGTGAGACTGCAGTTTGCTGAGAGACAGCAGGTTACCATGAGACAGTGGTTTAGTGTGGAACAGCAGTGAGCTTTGAGACAGCAGTTTTATTGTGAGAAAGCAGTGAAGTGTGAGACAGCAGTTTGCTGTGAGACAGCAGTTTACTGTGGGACAGCAGTGAGCTGTGAGACAGCAGTTTTATTGTGAGAAAGCAGTGAAGTGTGAGACAGCAGTTTGCTGTGAGACAGCAGTTTACTGTGAGACAGCAGTGAGCTCTGAGACAGCAGTGAGCTGTGAGACAGCAGTTTACTGTGAGACAGCAGTGAGCTGTGAGACAGCAGTTTACTGTGAGACAGCAGTGAGGTGTGAGACAGCAGTTTACTGTGGGACAGCAGTGAGCTGTGAGACAGCAGTTTCATTGTGAGAAAGCAGTGAAGTGTGAGACAGCAGTTTGCTGTGAGACAGCAGTTTGCTGTGAGACAGCAGTTTACTGTGGGACAGCAGTGAGCTGTGAGACAGTACTTTAGTGTGAAACAGCAGTGAACTGTGAGACAGTAGTGAGTTGTGAGACAGCAGTTTACTGTGAGACAGCAGTGAACTGTGAGACAGAAGTTTTCCATGAGACAGCAATGAGCTGTGAGACAGCAGTGAACTGTGAGACAGAAGTTTTCCATGAGACAGCAGGTTACCATGAGACAGTGGTTTAGTGTGGAACAGCAGTGAGCTGCGAGACAGCAGTTTACTGTGGGACAGCAGTGAGGTGTTAGACAGCAGTTTATTGTGAGACAGCAGTGAGCTGTGAGACAGCAGTTTACTGTGAGACAGCAGTGAGGTGTGATACAGCAGTTTACTGTGGGACAGCAGTGAGGTGTGAGACAGCAGTTTACTGTGAGACAGCAGTTTACTGTGGGACAGCAGTGAGGTGTGAGACAGCAGTTTACTGTGAGACAGCAGTGAGCTCTGAGACAGCAGTGAGCTGTGAGACAGCAGTTTACTGTGGGACAGCAGTGAGGTGTGAGACAGCAGTTTACTGTGAGACAGCAGTGAGCTCTGAGACAGCATTGAGGTCTGAGACAGCAGTTTACTGTGGGACAGCAGTGAGCTGTGAGACAGTACTTTAGTGTGAAACAGCAGTGAACTGTGAGACAGTAGTTTTCCATGAGACAGCAATGAGCTGTGAGACAGCAGTGAGGTGTGAGACAGCAGTTTACTGTCGGACAGCAGTGAGCTGTGAGACAGCAGTTTATTGTGAGACAGCAGTTTACTGTGGAACAGCAGTAAGCTGTGAGACAGCAGTTTACTGTGGGACAGCAGTGAGCTGTGAGACAGCAGTTTACTGTGAGACAGCAGTGAGTTGTGAGACTGCAGTTTGCTGAGAGACAGCAGGTTACCATGAGACAGTGGTTTAGTGTGGAACAGCAGTTAGCTGTGAGACAGCAGTGAGCTGTGAGACAGCAGTTTACTGTGAGACAGCAGTGAGGTGTGAGACAGCAGTTTACTGTGGGACAGCAGTGAGCTGTGAGACAGCAGTTTTATTGTGAGAAAGCAGTGAAGTGTGAGACAGCAGTTTGCTGTGAGACAGCAGTTTACTGTGGGACAGCAGTGAGCTGTGAGACAGTACTTTAGTGTGAAACAGCAGTGAGCTGTGAGACAGTAGTGAGTTGTGAGACAGCAGTTTACTGTGAGACAGCAGTGAACTGTGAGACAGAAGTTTTCCATGAGACAGCAATGAGCTGTGAGACAGCAGTGAACTGTGAGACAGAAGTTTTCCATGAGACAGCAATGAGCTGTGAGACAGCAGTTTACTGTGAGACACCTGTGAGGTGTGAGACAGCAGTTAACTGTGGGACAGCAGTGAGCTGTGAGACAGCAGTTTACTGTGAGACAGCAGTGAGCTGTGAGACAGCAGTTTACTGTGAGACAGCAGTGAGGTGTGAGACAGCAGTTTACTGTGGGACAGCAGTGAGCTGTGAGACAGCAGTTTTATTGTGAGAAAGCAGTGAAGTGTGAGACAGCAGTTTGCTGTGAGACAGCAGTGAGCTGTGAGACAGCAGTTTACCGTGAGACAGCAGGTTACCATGAGACAGCAGTTTTGTGTGGGACAGCAGTGAGCTGTGAGACACCATTGAGGTTTGAGACAGCAGTTTACTGCGGGACAGCAGTGAGCTGTGAGGCAGCAGCTTACTGTGAGACATCAGTGAGCAGTGAGACAGAACTTTGCTGTGAGACAGCAGTTTACTGTGAGACAGCAGTGAGCAGTGAGACAGAACTTTGCTGTGAGACAGCAGTTTACTGTGAGACAGCAGTGAGCAGTGAGACAGAACTTTAGTGTGAAACAGCAGTGAACGGTGAGACAGCAGTGAGTTGTGAGACAGCAGTTTACTGTGAGACAGTAGTTTTCCATGAGACAGCAGTGGGCTGTGAGACAGCAATTTATTCTGAGACAGCAATGAGCTGTGACACAGCAGTTTACTGTGAGACAGCAGTGAGCTGTGAGAGTGCAGTTTACTGTGAGACAGCAGTGAGGTGTGAGACAGCAGTTTACTGTGGGACAGCAGTGAGCTGTGAGACAGCAGTTTAATGTGGGACAGCAGTGAGCTGTGAGACAGCAGTTTATTGTGAGACAGCAGTGACCTTTGAGACTGCAGTTTGCTGTGAGACAGCGGTTTAGTGTGAAAGAGCATTGAGCTGTGGGACAGCAGTGAGGTGTGAGACAGTAGTTTTCCATGAGACAGCAGTGAACTGTGAGACAGTAGTTTTCCATGAGACAGCAGTGAGGTGAGA